TTAAAACACATCAAACTAAAATCCATAATTCATAAAAGAAGTTTGAAACACTACTTTCCCATTTTACCCTTTGACTCCAAAGCGCAAACCGAACTATTGTATCACATATCTACATTACGCACATCCAAATGGTCCTAAACCTCTCTTCCCCCAAAGCCCGAAGCCTTATGATACTTGATCTTCAGGTCACGACCCCGAATTGTGAAACGACTCGAAACAGGGTGTCACAACAAGTACTAAAATATATGGTACAAGTTAATAGAGAAATGAAGGTATGGTTTCAACATGATGGTTATCTTTCCTTACCCTCATCTTTCAGGATAAGGCGTCGTGATCTTGGAGGTACCTGTGGTAGCGTGCCTATCTAGCATTCCATCTACTTCCATTTCGTCCACTTTAGAAATAAACTTTTTATAAGATCTTTTAAAACAATTTTTTTTTTCATATTTTGCTTTCGTTACATGTGATTAAAGTGGTTTGAGAAAATAAATAAATTGATTTAAAGTAAAAGCTATGATTAGCCATATATCATGTTAGATTCAATTATATAGTTAGATTTGATGTTCATGTTTCAACTTTTAACCTTATTACTCATGGTTAAATATTTTATAATTTGTAAATGGATTAATATAGATGTATTTTATAACAATTAATTTTGGTTATATCTTCCAATCGAATCTTACATTTATTATCTTACAAAGTGGAAATGAAAAATGATAATAGGTGAGATATCGATCTTGACAACATCAGATAAAACACTACGACAAATAACCTATTATTACAACAGTCTAGCCTAGTATTCTGTTGAGTGGCTCGACACTCGTTGTAGTCTCATTCCTCTTGAGTGGCTACTTACTAACCGGTCACTGGAATGCAGGTTTATTTGTTTTACACAGGGGTGTTATTCGGTCGGTTTTTTTCGGTTTTTGATTTAATCAGTTCAGTTTTTTTGGTTTTTTACATCTTAAAACTAACCATAACCAAACCAAATAAGGTTCAGTTTAATCGGTTTTGGTTAATTCAGTTCCGGTTAATTCGGTTCGGTTTACCGTTTAAACCGAATAAATTTTCGCATGTAAAAATAAATATTCAACTAAAAGAAAAAATTACTAAAATTTTACCAAATGAAAAGAAATACATTAATACATAACATATGATATTTAAGTCTTTCACGATATGTTTTGAAGTGTCGATTTAGTTATACAAGTTGTAAATGGTAGTTAATATAACTTCACTCGTATATGAAGAGAAAAAAAAATGACCGAAGGTTAATTAATATTTAGCTAATTAGTTGTTTTTTTTAATACAATATATAAACAATTATAAATTTATAATGGTTAACAATTACATAATAAGTTATCAAAATCTTTTTTAGTAACAAATCCATCAATTTAAATATAAAATGTTAATTTACAGATATAAAGTTATAAACTATAAAAATATATATTAATTAAATAGTTTATTCAGTTTTTTCCGTTTAAACAAAATAATAAAAATTTAACTAAAATCAAACCAAATAAAGTATCCTTATTGGGTTAACCAAACCGAATTAACCAAATAACCGAATAACCTGAACCAAATAAACCAAACATCATTTAGTTCGGTTATTCGGTTTCGGTATTTTATCACAATGTCACAAGATATTGCTTAAAAATGTGGCGATGGCAAGACCATTGAAATTGGCCAAAATCACATGGGTTTGGGTGGATTCTGGTGACATGAGTCGTTTACAATTACAATTTTCATCACAATTCCAAATTTACAAGAGAGATCAAAGATAGAAAAGTAACAACTACAAAGCTACAAATTGATTATAAGTCTGTTGGAAGACCTTAACAATAAGTTGATGATATTCATCACAATTTAATGTCAAATAACAAGCCAAGAGTTCCTCCAGCTGGTCTCGTTGCCTGATTCCTTTCACTATCATCATCTCCATCATCGACTCTCTAAAGTCCATCTCTGGATCAAATGAGCTTTTCACAATTGCATTGCAATCGAGACTGATACTAAATGCATTCATCTCTTTCATCTTCAACCTCGTTCTCTTCATGTTTTCAAGAGCTTTGATTCTGCGTTCAACCCTGGTTTGTGTTCTTGGAGAATGAGCATTTACTTTACGACTCTGCTTTAACCTTCTCCGCTGTTTCTCATTCTTCAACATGATCTCATCCGTTTTCATGTTTTTATCCGATTTCAAGAAAGTCTTCAGATTATCTGCAGACGTTTCTTGAATTACGATGTCGGGTTTGCTTTCAAACACAACTTTTTTCACTGATTCTGTGGAACCCACTTTCCCTTTTCTTGATTCTTCATCAACAAACTCTCTCATTGTTCTTCCAATCGAAGACTTCTTGAAACCTCCACAACTTACTGGAGAAACATTGAGCCGATGATCTGAATTCCACAGTATCTCCTCATCTTCATACCTTTCTTTATCAAACGAAATCCTCCAATAAGAGCCATCATCATCACCATGGTGCACTCGACCTTTATTCCATTTCCTTTGAGCATTTCCTGATTTGGGTTCTGCGCTATCTTTCATCTTCTTGAACCTCAAAAACCATGTCTTCAGTGAGACAATGTTTGTCGTCTGAAAGGTTTTCTTTCTTCCCCAATTCATAATTTCTTTTTGTCTCTCTCTCTCTTTTAAGTGGAAGATTCAGAGTTATATAGAATGGATTGGATTTGTTGAAAGTGAGGACTTAAATGGATAGTTGCTATGTCGGCAATTGACCACTGTAGCTCTTGACTTGTTGTTTTTAAGTTTAAAAGAAAGGCCCGCCATAGATACTGTTACCACTTTACTTCACGTTTTCATTTTACTTAAGACTTGTTGTCCTTTGCTTTTTGTAGCATAATTGTTCTAAATAATGGAGACCAATTTTGTCCTTGCCCTGTCTGTAGAAGGCATGACCTAAGCATGTTTCTTACATGACATGATTGTTTTACGTACTTTTTAGGTTATTTTCAATGATTAAGATGAATAGGATGAGTATCTTAATTTTAGTTTATCGCACGTTAAACTTATAAAGTTAGCTTAAGTTATTTTATTTAATTTCTTTTGAATGTATGAGAGATTGAAAAGATTGCAAAATTTGTTCAAGAAGTTATTGATATTTATTAGAGTTTTAATATAATGCATGTGAAACACAAAGTAATGTTATTTTGTTACGTTGTAGGTAACAATGCCTAAAAGACCTATGTTTGTATACATGGATATTTGTTGTTCTAGTTGAAAGTTTTGTTGTGTTTTGATATAAACAGTGTTCTAGGAAATATTTTTCAGTTTTTATGTTTACTAAAAATATTTTAACTGAATCTCGAGCCTAACTAGACACAATCTAAAACCCAACTCAAATAAGCAAGATGAGCTAAAATTTTTGTAATTAAATAGGTTGAGTTAGGGTTGAAATCAATTCCATCAAAATATATTTTTATATGAACTTTATAGTTTATGTAATATTTTAATCAAACACTTTTAAAACACTAAACCTGTTATGTACACCCTTTTTGGAGCCTTCGAGAGTTCGAGCAAGATTCTAGCAAAGTAGAGAAGCAAGTTGAAAGTAAAATGCAATGAAATTGGAGTTATAATGTTATTTGTATAATTAACATAGAGCAAAGCCAACTCCTAAGAAGTTGGAACATTATTTCGACAAATAATTTGTAATTGTACTTAGCTTTGAATAACTAATTCGGTTTGTAACTTATTTAACTAACTCTAAATGTTTTTAAGATAAGGTTTGGAGATTTAAAACAATAAAGTGAGGTTAACCTTTCTATTAAAAATAAATGAGGTAGACTAAATGTTTTAAAAACCGGTTTTTTAGTTGAACCGGTACTCTGACCGGTTCCCGGTTTAACCGGTTCGACCGCCGGGTTAACCGGTTTCTATAAGTTTCATCTTTTTTCCTATTTTTCTATACATACATACATACATAAATAATGAATTTGACGTTTACAAGTTCAAATATTAAAAATACATATAAAAATAAGTTGTGGATCAATCCAAATACATTAAAATAACACATAATCATAAATTTTAGTGTTTTACATCAATGATATACATCAAAAAGAAAATAAAATATAATACCGAAACAAAATATAGTTTTAGATGAATACAAACACATCAAAAAACTTTATAAAATTTACCACATGTTTTTATTTAGAGAAACTAAATAGATTTGAAAAAAAATCACCAAAGTTTATTATGCAAATGATTCGTTTCCATGTATTTTTATTCGGTTTAACCAGTTCAACCGGTTTATTTTGACCGGTTCAACCGGGTTTTTCTAAAAACCGGCCGGTTCAATCTGGTTCAGAATTCGACGTAAAATCGATGATAGTTGAATCGCTTCCTTCCCCAGTTCCCGGTCCAACCGGTTCGACCGGCCGGTTCAAACCGGTTTTTAAAACATTGGGTAGACTCAAGGCCAATCCGTTTATCTAACAAACAGTGACGGATGTAAGGGTTTTATGGGATGCATGCACCCCATTTGACATGCATTTTTACCTTAAATTTCATATAGAAAAATTATAAATATGCTAGATCTTACACTACTACAAAAAAAGCAAAAAGGACCCGGTTAAATACCATAAAGGACCCAGTTTGCAACCGGGTTTTTGATGGGGCGAGTCCTATCAGTGAAATATAATAGGGCCCGATTTTACAACCGGGTCTTAGTAAGCTATTACAACCCGGTTCCATACATAAAACCGGGTTTTTTTCATGGAAGACAATACGTACTATATGCCTACAAAGCTCGGTTCTAAGCCATACCAGGTTCTATCACACAAGTCAAAAATAGATCTTGTTTGTTCATATAGCCCAGTTCTGTTATATGCAACCAGGTCTTTTTACTTACTGTTTTATATTTTTTCTGTTAGATCTATAAACCCAATACTAAGATGCTTACTGTTACATTTCAAACTTTGCATTTAATGTATCCAAATAAAGAAATCCTTTTATTAATTTCCAATGGATTTTTACATATTTACATCCACTAACACTAGAATCCAACCTTAACAAGATGTTCACATATATACCCCATGTAAAGAATTTTGACACCAATCTCATTGCCACACCCCGCTTCCTACAACCATCAATTTGTTCATGTTGTTCACTTGAATCACCCCAATATATACAAGCTGATCAAACTAGATGTGCACCCGAACACTCATGCTTCTTGATGATAAATGTCCATCAAGCTTATCGACACCTACTGAGAGAAAACAGAGCATTCTTAAGCAAACTGTGAATGAAAATGTGCTTTTACATAGAAACAAAAATATCAAAAATACATACATTGCTACCTTAGTATCTTAGTCTTCGAACCTGGTCATCTTAGGTGCATGAACATGACTTCCCAACTGTTTATCATATTCAACATAATATCAATAATCACAAAAGGAAAAAGACCAGTCAAATTCTTACAATTTTTCAGCGCTCATAATCAACAGTAGCAGCCTCAATCTTCTCGCGTCATTCCAGTTACTTTTCAAAATTCCATCAACCAATTTTCTTCACGACCTTTCCTCAGTTTCTACAACAAAAATAGTCACCATGAGGTGTATATGACTCCATGTCTACAACCACTTATGGGGCATAAAATATAAATAGGATGTTACATAAATAGAAATGAAAAAGGAATGGGGAAAAATGAAAAACTAAGCAAACATTGGACAATACTTTCTACTGCATAGAAAATGGGAGAAGGATGTTATATTCAACAGCTAAACCAACATATGAATAAGAAAAAAAATAACTAAACAATTATTGGACTAAAAATATAAGTAGGGTGCTATACAAAAAAACAAAACCAATAATTAAATTAAAAAACAAAAGCTACACCAATAAAATACATTAAAAAAGTAAACAACAATAGATGAAAGTAGAATGCTATACTAGATACGACTGATAATGGAAGCCTTATGAAAAAAAATCCTTTCAGGAACCTTGTCCAAGGATTGTTGGTAAGAAACTACAAATAAACCTATTTCTTAAGAACATTGTCCAAAAATACCACTGATAATTGTAAAGTGTAATAGAAAACATACCACAGAAACTGTAAGTGGGATGCTACACTGATTGGAAATCTTTCACCATATGCTGCGAAAAATACTCTCAAAAACTTGTTAAGATGGAAAATAAAAGTATGCAATCATAAATAAAAATATTCAATCATGAGTAAGTAAAAGAACGCGTTTGATGAATCGCCTTACAGTATTGATACTTTTTTCCTCCGGTGCCATAAATGATGTTTCTCGCAATGTTATTTTCATTAGACTCGGGACTCCTATGAACTTAAAAAATAAAAAATAATTCATAAATCACATAATGTCTTCAAGAAACCAGCCATGTATTGTTGCAGGTTATATTTCAGAGACATTTTAGGCATTTTCATACTCGTGTTATGTTTGCAAACTCTAATACGATTTAGATTTTTGAACCAAACATTGTATATTTTGCCCTGGTTTATAGTTGACGAGATAGAAAAAATACCAATAGCCATCAATCCAATAATTAGCCCTGATCAGATATGCATAAATTTAACCAAAACAAAGGATCAATGACTCAAGTCGTCTAAATGGATTCCAAAACTCGATATACATAAAGAATGATTATCAGTCAAAATGGTACCTCAGTAGCGTGGCTCTAGTTAGCGGCGAGAGAGATTCGATTTCACATTGCTTCAGAGTATTAGGATCAAAGCGGCGATAAAGCATCGAATTCATATTGTTTTAAAGTATTAGGGTTTTAGATCGGTGGTTCCTAACTTCCTAAGGTAGTCGCATTCACAGAGTATCTTGGAATTGAAATCATATATTTGGTCAAATGACGGGAGAACAAAAATTGGAAGGCGGGATAATGAAAATTGACGGAGGATATCGAAAATTGATAGGCGGTGTTTTTTTAATTGAAGTTGGTGTTGGCGACTTGGCGTAGTCACAAGAGGGCTTTCTAAAGACTTTCCTTTTGATGTTCGTTCAGAAGTAAAAGCACATGAGAAACATCAAAAGATCTTAAATGGCTTATTTTTTTATATGATAATATACAAAAATATCATATGTTAAGAGAAACATACATTTTACATGTTACAAGCTAATGGTGATAAAGCAAAAAATTACATCAAAAGTCTTGTAACACACATATTGAAATATTAAAATAAATTAAAATTTTCTAAACAAAATGCCTAGTCTCTTTTACGTCTTTGTGGTGTTTTCTATTGGAATGTATTTCGTTGTCATTCGTCCTACAAACATAACAAATTATGTTAATACTTTGGTTATGCTAGATTAATGCAAATTTACAATCAACTCGGTGTGTTTCATATCGACTAACTTGTTTATTACCTTCCAAAGTATGTGGTTTTATGATATCCATATTCCTTCGTTACGGTCTGATCGTAAGTACGTAGTCTCATCCATATAATCATTTGAAGATGGAGTGCCGACAAAATACGGGGGTAGCTCATTTAATTAATTGTATTTTCCTCGTCCGCAACATTATTAACACCAAGTTATAGAATTTGATAGCATAAGGTGTTTGTTTTTGTAACATCCCATTTTCCAAGTCCAAAAATTTCGATTTTTACATAACAACGTAGAAAACATTCATAAGAAAATATCATGAAGTCATGTCATTTCGTAAAAACCATAATCTCATGTCTCAAAATCATATCATAAAAGTAGTGACAATGTCATAGTACAATCCCAAGAAATCACATAATGCGGAATCCAATGTGTGTATGATGTGCAGCTACCGCGCCGGCTCCTTCCCCTTCGCTGAAGAGGTACCTGAAACAAAACTGAAAACTGTAAGCACGAAGCTTAGTGAGTTCCCACATCGTACCACATACCATACAATCACATAGCATACATACTGCCAGGCAATTCTGGGGTGCCCGACCTACCCGGTACGACCATTCTGGGGTGCCGACCTACCCGTGTCAAGCCATTCTGGGGTGTTGACCTACCCGTGTCGAGCCATTCTGGGGTGCTGACCTACCCTTCGGTCCTCACAACCGAACCTCGGGGACTATTCCACCCCCTACTACTGCTATCGCATATATCATAACATAACCTACTGTCAGACATATCTGGGGTGCCTAACCTACACTTCGGTCCTAACAACCGAACTTGGGGACTATTCCCCTCCTACTACCGCTATCACATATAACATATCATGCCAGCATATAAACATATCATCACATATTGTCAGACATATCTGGGGTGCCTGACCTACCCTTCGGTCCTAACAACCGAACTCTACTACTATCATATATAACATATCATGCCAGCGTATAACATATCAGGTAGTAGCAAACCTATATGATATGACAAAGACAATCATCCAACATACAACTCCTACTGGTGGGCCGGCATTGTGGCCGTATACCCACCGCTACTGGAAGGTAACTCACCTCGCAAGGCTGACTGCTGAAAAGCTGATCGGCAAATGTCTGACTGCTGGTCCGGTGATCCTCCGGCTATAAATCCATAAAACACTTAGTCAGACACTGCTCCGGTGACCCTGAAATGATGAAACTGTATAATGAAATCCCAAACTATACATATTATAGTTTGCATGCATGTTATGTACCTGTTTTATGTCTAGTTCTGAAAACTATGCAATTATGGTTGAAGGTTGAAAACTTCCCTTATGCTCAGCACGTTACAAAAGGGATAAAATATTTAAATATTTTATAAAATGTGAAAATATTTAGTTGTTTTAATTGCATAAGTTTTTACCCTGTTGAAATCTTTTTGTATAAGTTTACAAATACTATTTATGTTTGGCTTGTATTTCCCCTGAAAACGTTAAAATCATAAAAGCATAGGGGTGTGAACTCACCTGCAGTGAGTGACTTGGATGAACGAAAGAGATAGGATGCTTGGTATGCCAAGTGAAGTCCCGAGCACAAACGGATCCTATTTAGCATATATTAACATATATAGGTATGCAATTAGTGTATATAACAACTAACATGTAAGGAACACAACCATAGGAAGTAGGAAACACTTTCAATGAAGTGTTAGAACAACAAATGGGGGGCTAAAAGATTATCACGGTCACGCAAGAGGATTTCACGGCCCTATGGAGGGTTCACGGCCCAAGAACACATGAGTGTTCACGGCCCTCATGAAGGGTTCACGACCGTGAACTCTTGAAGGTCTTGAAAAGATGATGAAAAGTAGTGAATCAATGGATGGAAGTAAGGGGTTTCAAGTATGAACAAGTATAGGGGATGAATGCTTATGTTTTTTAGGAGAAAAAAAGCCTTTGTGTGGATGATACTTGAGAGGATTCTTGGAGATCACGGCCAGGAGGATGAAGAATGATGAGAAAATGAGTCAAAACTTAACTAAGGCCCAAAAGTCCAAAGCCCAACCAAAGTACAAAAGCCCACTGTGAGGCGTACGCTCGGCGTACTCGACCGCCGGTACGCGCAACGTACCACTTGGTACGCCCAATGTACTGGGCTGCTTGCCACCCTAAGCCATTAAGTTCTTAATCCATTCAACCATAAGTTCTAACTCTCAAATCTCTTCCACTTTAGGGTTTTAATACGTAAAGTTGGCAACTTTAACCCTTAGCATGTCTTAACGGAACCCAACATCCATTTTTGTCCAACAAAGATCATAATAAGAACTTAAACTCATGCATGGACCAATAACAACCACCAATATGACATTTTTATGCATCAATAACCACAAAGAGGCTGAGATCTAACATATCTAACTCCTGAAGTTGCTCCAACACCGGTGTTGTCAGAAAGCATCTCAATGGCATTTTTGATGCTTGCAACAACCTCCATATCACTGATGAATTTCTTTATCCAATCAACGTCCTTAGTTGCTTCAGACGCAACTATACACATAGATTTTGTTATAAACATTGCAACCACTTCTTGCTTTGAACTTTTCCAAAAAATGGCTTCTCCTTTGAGGATGAACACGTATACTGATTGTGATCGAGAATCATCTCAATTAGTGTTGAAGTTGGCATCAATGTAACATATTACAACAAACTCTTCCATAAACTAGGGACATATCGTTAGTTCTTCTCAAGTACGTTTGTAACACTCCAAACCAGGTAGTTACCCTTTATGCCCTTAAAATGAATTTTCTTTGCAAATTGGTCCCGTTTGTACGTGGAGCGTACTCATGAGTACGCTTAACGTACTAGGGTGGAAAGAACATGGAGGTGAACCACGTACGCGGGGCGTACGTGACAGATGATCAAAAGCCCTAATTTCGGACTTGTGACATATTTAAGCAACCTTTTGTTGGATATAGTGTCTAAGTCCATAACTATATTTGGTATGTACTTGACCCGACCCGGCATGGTCCATTTGGGTTGCATGGCATTGCAATACTTGGATAGACCAAAATGAGAGAAAGGACACTTAAGGTTTATTAATATATTATAAGTACTAATATATTAATAATATTATTTAGTTAGTATTGGTCAAAGAATTAATCTGGAATTAATTAAGTGATCAAAAAGAGACTAATTAAATATATGGGGTTGATTGTGTAAATAATCTATTCTTGTATAGTGGGCTAATGATCCATGGTTTGTATGGATTGGGTTAAAACCCATAAGGTGCTCCATGGATAGTCCATGGAGGTTACAAACCCATGGATCATGGAATATGGAAAGCCATGACAATTAGGGTTTACATGGTGTAACCCTACTTGTGCCACAACTATATAAAGAACCCCATGCAAGCAAAATCGGCAATACTACAAGCAAGTAAAAGGGCTAGCCGATTTTTGAGTATAGTGAACTTCTCTCAAGGTTATTCCAAGTATTGTTGTGTTGTGTGAAGCATTTGAGACATCACATTTGGGGTGCTAGGCTCACAAAGTCATCAAGGAATCCAAGCTACTAAAAGGTATGTTATTCTACTTGGCTTTTGTATTACAAGTTCCCCATAACATGCTAGTTAGGAAGTAAACCTTGGAAAATCAATTTTGCATGTATTTTAGAGAAAACATAGATCCAAGGTTTCTAGGGTTGCATGTACACCATAGGAGTGTTAGAATGCTCAAAACCCAACACCTTTCACCATTTGGACCAAACCCTAATCAGCCTCCATAGCCTCATTTCGTCCCTTAACCCCATATGTCCTTATGTGTGTGGTTCTTGAGCTAAAAGAGTGTTTGGTGGCGATTTTTAGAGAGTATTCAAGAGGAAGAAGGTGGTGAGCAAGTCTTGGGTGACATTGAGCTTCTAGATCCTGCATCAAGCTCATCTCGAGGAACGTCTGGAGGTATAAAGTCAAAACCTTGTCATTCCTTTTGTTAGTTTGAGCTAAATTTTGGTTATGGAGTCCCTTTTTGGTTCTTGGACATTCTCTTGTGAGTTGAGCAACTCCATAGACTTTGATGGTCAAATCTAAGATCTTTGAGCATGCTATATGCATAAAGGTGCCATCTTGAGGGTTGTTTAGATGCCATGCATGAGTTTGAGGTCTTGTATGAAGTTTTAATGAGAATAATGAAGTTTTGGAGTCCCTCATGGCATGCAAGGGAATAAAGTTGCCAACTTTATGCCCTAGGACGTCTTGATGAGCTCATATATGATTTTGGACGTTAAAATCTCAAGTATTAAGCACTTAATGATCGTTAGTGCATAGCCAGCTTGTACGTCGAGCGTAATATTATGTACGCTGTGCGTACAACGAAAGGGCTTAGTATGCTAAGTGTAGTGGAGTGGTACGCTGGGCGTACGCGCCTTAGATGGACTTGGGCTTCGTATGGGCTTATGAACTTATTGGGCTTTATTTAGTGTAGAACTGGTCCCATTTATGGTTAGTGGACTGTTATTTTGAATTTGGGCCATACTTGTATTGGTTAGGCTTGTTGGGCCATGTGGCCCATTAATAACTTTTACCTTGGATTCTAGGCCCACTAATAAAGGAAGGACTTTTGGGCTACCAT